CAGGGGTCGGCAACCTTTTGTCACTCGCGGGCCAAAATTATGGGTTGCAAGTCTTAGCGGGTCGTCGAACGGATGGGTGATGAATCAAATTTGTTCACGCAGATAAGAAATTAAATTTTAAGGTTGATACGTATTCAACATCACTTGAAGAAACATTTTCTAAATGGGACAGTGGATGAAACCAAAATTAATTAAAACATTTTCTAATCCGAGTTCTCAGCTTGTTCTTTCAAAAGTTCATTTCCGAAAATAATTGTTCGCATATATATGTACTCCAAAACATCGATGTGAATTTTTTCGCATGGTTTGTCAAATTTGGATAGAGTTTTCCATGAAAAAGATTCTTTTTATAATAAAAATCAAGCAGTGATACATATCTTGGATAGAACATAGATTAATTTTGTCATTGCATTGCATCTCAAAAAAATCCATTTGAATATTTTCTGTGTCAATGGACCCTTTGCACTTAGCATCAGCTTGGCTCTGCGTTTTGTTGCCATTTGTTTCATTATAACTAAATTATAGGCTCATTAACCTAATCCTAACGGTTTGACGCATGCGCAACGTTTCAGACGTTTTGCAATGCTGTGTGTATACCATGAGGTCTGGAATGTTTGTTATGGTCTTGCTTGAAAGGAAATCTTATTCCCCACACAACGATATGAGAATGAACCTTACATGACATTTAGAAGTGATAAAATTTCGCTTACATATCACGCGTGTACTTCCCGCTGCGATATAAAAACGTCGCACAACAAGAAAATGATTCCATAAACCTTGGCGTTGCGCGCTAACCAATAACAAAAGCTAGTATGATAAGGTCTTATTTTGAAGGTCATTTTATATGCTACATAACATAGGAGAGTGGACATCTCACAACGTCAGGAAGTTATAAAAATATCGAGTCGTTTGATCGCAGCTGCCTCACCGAAAAAAAGTTAGGCGTTTTATCTCGCAAATTCTCCTTGTCTGACGATTATAAGCTTTTATGATTCATAATAAATGTTTTATTATGACTCACAAAAGCTTTCAACGCGATAAAGCACAAACAAACAACCGATCGATCTATCAAGCTTAGCCTGGCCTGATTCGATGTGGTGACTTCTCAAACGGAAAATTTCCAAAACGATTGAACGACACGCGCTAACGAATAGCGTTTAGTATCATATGAAAGAGAAAACCGATGTGCAGTCAACTGTATAGTTACATTTCAGCTTTACAATAGCTGTAGACGTCCAACAGCTGATAGAATGAGAGAGTGTAAATATTTTTGTTATTTTTTGACGTTACGAGAGACCTCTTGAAAGAGGTGTTTTAGTTTACGGTCCTCCAGTGACATCTAGCGTATAGTACTCTAAAATACCTTTCCAATGGTATATAATTATTGTATATTGGGTAAATTTTGGGGGTCGTATGACATTAATAAAAATGTATTCAAAATTGGGCTCGATTGGGCGTCTGAATCAGGTTAACGAGTACTTGTGAATTATATACTTGTTAGGTTATAAGCTAATTTAATCTTCACAGGTCTTAAAATAAATTTTGTTACGTAAAGAATATAGGTAATCATCAAAGCAGCCGTTTTGTTACTATAATTCAGTGAAGCGTCGTCGGCCGGATTATATTACCGAAGGTTGCTGACCCCTGACTTAGAGCATTAGTCGTAACTGTATTGGCATCGTAAGTTGCACTGTCTGAAATCTCATGTCATTACATTGGACAGAAAATGCTGGAGCAGAACGATTCCAAACCTTCCAAAAATAGTCGCTTGTATTAGGTCGTGTTTGCAGCGAAAAGAATGAATTATTGTCGTATAAAATTGAGATCCCACACCCCTAAGCAGTGGTGGGATTCAGCCGGTTCGCACCGGTTCTATAGAACCGCCTCACAGAACTTTTTGAGATCAGCGAACCAGTTAGCATTACCGGTCACTGTCAATGATTTTTTGTAACAGAACTGGCCGAAAAAACATGACTTTTGTGATAAAACCAGCTGACAAAAAATTTGAATCCCACCACTGCCCCTGAGTATAAGTTTATTTTACCTGGAGGAGTTAAAATACCATAAATTCCAAAGCTTAAGATATGGGGTTTTAAATCGTATCATTACTAAAACACACCATTGCCATTCCATGGTTGCCAGATGAAGCAGTGAAAAATTTCTTTCCTTCTGTTTGTTTGCTGTCATATTCCGAAAATTTCAAGACTTTATTGAAGGCTCCTCTTGCTTTAAATGCACCTGTGATTTGCTCAGATTCTGCAAAGAAGATGATGAGATTCAGGCAATTATATTCCTTGTACATTAATATCTTAAATAAATAAATTGAATAAAAAACAGACATAGAATATTTTTATTTCATGTAATTCAAGAATTTTGCTGCATATTGTTGTAGCTGGGTATTTTCAAGGAAGGGGATAGGATAGGATTTACATATTTATCCTGGGGGAGAGGAAAGCCGATAAGACGACTTAAACGTATGGCGAACCACGGCCTCTTGTCCGGTTACCAGTCCAGGTCGGGTATGAGATTAGTTAGCCAGCTATTTGGTTTCAGAAGCATGAACTTGATGGTGGAGGAAGCCATAACCGACCAGCGGTTACGTGAACCACCCTACGACAGCGAGGAGTCCAACTATCCTCTCGAACATGATCGTCCCCGCATGGGATTCGAACCTGCGAAACCACGAAGTGTAATCAGAGATGCGGTGACGAGCGTATCCCTAATGCTTAGCACGATGCGCCACACCGCCAAGCCAAGGGGGATTTTTTTTGGGGGGGGGGAGGTTTCAAGAGTCTTGAGGGTATAAAAAACACTTCATGCAAAAAAAATTGCTTTGTATACTTTTTTCACATTTCAAAAAGAGGGGGAGGGGGGTTGGGCCTGCATCCCCTGTTGCTGCATCCTTGCGTTATACGCATGAGGATCCACGAGCACAAAAACATTGAGGGTAAATAGGTAATTAGTCTCTTGTAACCCCCAACTGATAAATTTTTGTTCGCAATTGACGGGGGGGCCGAAAATCATCATCATGTTAGTGATACAATTAAAGTTCAGTGTTTCACCATTTCATATTGAATGAGTGTTGAATTTCATAAACAAAAATTTGTGAGTTTTAAGGAAATCTGAGTTAAGTATGTTGAAGTGGAAAAAATGTCTGGTACAAGCAATCAAATGACTGAACATGATACCAGTGGTTACACAATCCATCCTACAGTAACAAGCAATTATCGGGTCTAGTATAGTTTAGTACCACAAATAGCCTACCTCCTGTGGGCGTAGCATAACGAATTTTGCATATGTTATTCCTAACCCCAACCTGACTATGCCATCCAAAAATTACGTCACTATGACGTCACCATCACGCCTGGCCACTATCGCATGTAGAGCTTTTGGGCTGTTTGTGATTTTATCGGCCCAGGCCTATAAGAATATTTTTCAGCAATAGCTTACACTAAATTAGACCCAAACCACCTTTTGACCTTCCTGGGAGGCGACCAGCAGTCATATAAACCTGATAATCTCAGAAGAATGGAAGGAGTAAAATCAATTTGGCGGCCAGGGAACCCATCCGGATGAAAGTTTGTTTGTAAACAACACGTCACTCATCGCAGACACACCCACGGAATTCAGACACGCCCATATTTCAAATAAAGCAAAATGCTGCAACACAGGCACCGGCACATACCAAGTTTTAAATAAACCTTTGCGCAGGTCCTTTCCGATAGATATGCAGAATATTCTAAAGGTGTCCGTCTGATATAACTCTTTATTCGATGATGAGCTTTCTCCACTTCATTGCATAAGTCTTGATTGCTTATTTTATCTGTCATTTTTATCGAGATTTCAAGGCTGCAATGCGTGTACTTTCTGCACAGAAATTCATTTCAACATGGAGGTGCTTCCCCATATTGAAAATACCACGCTGCGGTGGTGTTGAGCTTAGAACTTTGGATAGATGAAGTGTTTTTTTCTGTTTGGTGAAAAAATAAATTACTGATTACTTGTCTCCCAAAGTTAAGCATAAATCACATTCAACGATGGCAAAGAAATCACCCGCAACGAAACGTCAAATAAATAATAAAAAAGTACCAGAAATTGTTACTTCGAATCTGGCATGATGTTACTGTCTGTATAAGTTTATTATGAATTTAACATTAAGTATGCGTCGTTTCATGCTCGCTATAATATATGATGTCAATTTAAATAATTTTTGCCCACGAACGGTAAAAATGTCTATAATTTATGTGGTATGCAATTTTCCAATGCTAAATATTCATTGCTCTCTATAAGTGAGACTGTAATAGTAAACACACAGGAAGCAGCCACAGAAAACATGAACTTTTTTGGTGTACGACCGACTACTTTAATAATTACCTACGGTATTACATATCACTTAACAAAATCGTCGAGAGGTTCTAATCAAAGCACATTAATACAGCTCCAAGAAAAAATGTTTTCTAACCATTCCATGAGCACAAATTTTATTTTCACTCAAATATGTGACCGGAATTGATAACAGTTACCCCACACTGAAATGTCTAAAACCAACCTTGCAGGGAATTTTGAAGGGTTCAATATCAGAATTTCCTGTTCGGCAAGGTGATCAGGCAATCGATAAAGTAGCTGACTTTTTTATCAGGCAACGATTTTTCTGTGGTATGAAAAAGGATGGCCCGGACTGTCCCGCTCAATACTTGTGACTTTTCGTATTGCAGGATCAGTGGCGTAGCCAGGGGGGCGGGTCGAAACCCCCTCTTTTGAAATGTAAAAAAAATAAAATCATTTTTCTGTATCATAGATAGCAGTTTTCCGTAGCTAGAAATGCTTTTTAGACCCCAAGACTAATAAGAACACGCGTATTCCAGCCTTCGATCAGACCCGCTAACAGTTTCGATCTAACTTGGCAAAAAATAATTTCAGAACCCCCCCCTCCTTGAAAATTTCTGTCTACGCCCGTGCATAGGTTCCTACGCCCCAGCATACAATTTAATTTCTCTAAATTCATAATTCGATATTTATTTCAACTAAAAGTGCAACATATGAGAAAATATTCTAAATGAAAAAAGATATCACTTTTTATCTCGATTCATTAGAATAGCAACTCCTGCTTTGGAAGAGTTTTTTCTCCCAAGTTCATTACTTATAAAGGAGCCAACATCAACTAATTTATCCAAATCAATCCCAGTGTCCATGCCAGACCCATGCAACATATAAACGACATCCTCGCTGGCAACATTGCCAGATGCTCCTTTCGCATAAGGGCAACCTCCTAAGCCAGCTACAGAAGAGTCTACAATTCCTATATCTTGGTCTAAAGCCGCCACAATGTTACCAAGTGCCTGTCCATATGTATCATGGCAATGCACAGCAATTTTTTCAGAAGGTATTTCAGATAGAACATGTTTTAGAAGCTCTTTCATTTTTATTGCTGTACCAACGCCGATTGTATCACCAAGAGATATTTCATAGCATCCCATTTCGATCATTTTTAGGGCCACTTTTACCACCTCCCCAGTGGGTACTTTTCCTTGGTAAGGGCAGCCTAATACACAAGACACATATCCTCTCACTGGCACATTTTGATTTTTCGCTGCTTCCAATACAGATTTGAATCTTCCCAGACTTTCTTCGATAGAGCAGTTGATATTCTTTAGACTGAACGCTTCCGACGCTGCACCAAAAATTGCGACCTCTTTAGCTCCCGCGGATATTGCTGATTGAAACCCCTTCAAATTAGGGGTCAGAACTGGGTAATTCACTCCATTCTTTTTCGTGATACCCCTCATGACTTCATTGTGGTCAGCCATTTGTGGGACCCATTTTGGCGACACAAAACTTGTTGCTTCGACAACCGAAAGTCCTGTTTCTGAGAGCTCGTTAATAAGCTTTATTTTCGTCTCTGTAGGAACAATATTTGGTTCATTTTGAAGACCATCTCGTGGTCCAACTTCCACTATTTTCACAAAGTCTGATATCAGTCTTGTGTTCAGTTTTAATTTGTTTTGTTTCAAAAATGTCAATGACGACAGGCACATCCTATTTGATAACATCTTATCTCAGTTTCTTTACTTCTGGTAAAATTTGATAAAATTAAAAGAATATGGTTTGTATCATTTACCATCAGTATTTGAGATAGCAAGGGTAACTTAAACAAACATAAAAAACACGCTATCACTCAGATATTTTATATTCTAGCAAATAAAGAAACAATATTTAAAATACACACAAAAATGAAATCCTGGTTGAAGCACTTGTAAATGTACACAAAAGAAATTGGAGGTAACGCAGCGGCATGGATATTTCCTCAAATTTGGACTTAATATAGAAGTCCTAAAAGATTGAACTTGGAACAACTTAATAAAAGACAATCAAAATGCAAATCATTGTGATAGTATTGTTACATTGCTCATTTTATTCTGATATACAGGGTGTCCATAAAGTCCATTCACAATTTTAATTTTGTTATGAAGTCAATTCTCAATATAGCCCAACCAGATTTGTTATGTAAGGGCCAAAACAATATATGGTATCGGTAAATTCTTTTTGCAATTTGAGAATTTTTTATGAACATCCTGTATTTGTACACATGGAAGACTAGGAATTTCAGAAGTAAGCAGAAAGCAACACATGCAAAAAGGTTGACATGAGTATTTAATAAAAGTGCAAAATCACAAAAAAATGCAATGTCAAAAACCACTATCCAAATCATTTCACGAGTAGTAACAAAAAAGTGAAATCCACTAAAGGTAATGTTCCAGGCTACTACGAATTTGGAAGGCAATTACTGTAGAGCAGTGTTTCCCAACCTTTTTATGGCTTTCAGCACTCATGGTTCATCATTCCAGTGGTATTTATAGTGTTAACTTGGTTGGTAGATTCTAGGTCCCATACGTGTTATGAGGAGCAGGTCCCACCTAAGACTTGGTGACAAACTTACTCTCTGGTCCACTTATCTCATAAACTGGGCTTATGTCCCTTTATAGCAGTGATTTCCAAAGTTGATTGACAGGAGGCCAAAATCAGAAGCGGAAGGATATTCGTGGGCCAGGTGAGCGCCCGCAAGGGGCGGTATCTGAAGCACAAAAAGAAAAAAACATAGTGTAGTGAACTATTTTACTTACATTCGGTGGGCCATGTCAGATCGTAGGCTGGCAGGCAGAGGTTTGGTAACCACTGCTTTTTAGCAACTACCAAAATAATAAAACAGCTTAACAAAAACAAGGCAATGAAAAATGACTTAAATATAGTGAACCGTGTAGCAAAAAAAAAAGAGTTTGAAATAAAAAAAAAACATGTCACGAGCAACCAGTGCTCCGTTTATTGAAATACAGGATGGATGAAGCATTGATCTAGAACAGGTGTTCTCCAACTTTTTATGTTATGGAGTTTGTGAAGAAATTGACTATTACTTAAGGAGCCCACAACAAAGTTATAAAAATTATATACTGGTACATAAAAATTATTTTCCAGAAAGCAACACCAAGCAACTTCTTAACTTCATGTTACATTTTTTCTATTTGCTCCAAGCAACCGGTAAGTAATTCGCCCATACTCCAAGGCAAAGGGGCGAGAAATGAAAAAATCTAGGTCCTAGACCAGGGATTCCCAAACCAGGGGTCGCGACCCCAAAGTGGGTCGGAGTGATAAGTAGGCAAGGTCGCAAACAGGTCATGGGGTCGCTTAGGTATGGTAGAGACTGGATGTACAGATCGACTAAGATTTGACAAACCATGTTAAATTTAGCAGTTTGTACCATGGCTTACAGTAAAACAGGCCCATAGGCATCGCTCTATGCTTATGCTATAGAAAATGTAAGGTGCTTATTGTGACCTCACTGTTTGGTTTTACCTTATTTTTTTACTTAATAGTGGTACCATCACATGACCAAACTCAAAAGTCCAGGGAAAGAAGTTTATATATATTGACCTGGGGTCGCACTGGACACTTGAAAGTTGTTTTTGGGGCCGTCCTGACAAAAGCTAGGGAACCCCTGTCCTAGATGATGATAAAAGAACAAAATTAGGTCACCCACACAAAAAAATGAATGTTTCACACAAAAAGAAAGAATACTGTATAAAAAAATCTATATGTACAAAAAATACACTTGAAAAAAATTTAAGTATTGAAGTGCTAAGATCACAAGCCTATTCAGAGTTTTGATAAAGAGAGGGGCAAAAGAAATGAAAGTGACATCATAATACACTCTTTTGGATGAAAGGTGCAGTTAGGCTATCATAAAGACAGCAGGTTGGGAATAGATATATGGCCCCAATCCCCATTAAAAAGGAAATAAGCATAGGAAAAGCGTATAGGCTCCATATTTGATACCAAGAAGCCAGGTTCTCTAAACCCAACCACAACAACGAAGTGCTCAGCAAACAGGGTAGGAAGACTTTCTGGAAACGAATCCCTAAAAAATGCCCATCTCGAATATGATGGTTGGCACATCAGATTCGTGTTCGAGCTGCATGGTCAAGCAATGCAATGGTAGGCACATTGGACCAGTCAAAGATCGAAGATACCAGGTTAAAACCCCCTGTCCACCGCATCACGCCGACATTGTCAAATCTGTCTTTTCAAAATCATAGCATACCCTTACGTATCAGTAACCTGCTTGTCCAGGGCTTTGTTTAGAGCAGGGGTAGGCAACCTTTGATACAGAAGGGCCAGATACAAATAACTGGGGAAACTGTGAGTCGCATCTTTATTTAACATAGGCTTTCTAGTATTTGCAGGCCCAAAAATTTTGGTTATCAATCTTATGACATGCGTTGCTCGCATTGCACAAGCTCAGGTATAGGATTTGGGTCCAGGCTTTGCAACGCAAATCGATAGAAATAACTTGCGCGTACCATTTTAAACTTAATTAAAAAACTTGTTCCGCGGGCCGAACACCATTGGCACTTCTCAGCGGGCCATATAATTTCTCCTTGTGGGCCGCGGGCCACACACCACTGGTTTAGAGAAAAGGTTCCAACCCTCTTATATGATTTTACAAGAAAGTGTTTAAATTAAAATCACATCTTAGTAGTCTTCAGCCCAACCATTCTCTCCAATAAATTTCTCGATCACTTCGTGTATAGCCAGATTAGGAATCAATTCGCTAGCAGTTAGTTTTTGTCTGGTAACGGGATCAAAATGTCCGACCCTTTGCAGATGTTCTTCAAGATCTTTACGATCGTAAGTTATTCCACTCGGCGTTATAACAGGGTCCTTCATAATTTCGAAACTGATTTTTCCGCATAGGAAATCTGGAACTTCACGTGTTTTCCTACGATCATCTACTTGTGCAAATAAGTTATTTAGTTCAGTTCGACGTTCCTCGAATTTTTTTTCTACATTTTTTCGGTCTGTATCGCTTGTGGAGTCGTTTTCGTCCAATTTGGTTATCTCACGTTTTTCGTCTTCAACCATTAAATTAGTGAGATAAGTTTGTAGTTCAATTTCCTGTGAAATACGTTCCTTTTCTAATTTATCCCAGCGTTTTTTCTTCGCGTTACGTAGCATCGCTGCAATATCATCACCAAAATTTAATTTTTGTTGTTTCGCGAGTGTATGTGCTTTTTGTAACTCTGAGATAGATTCATCAAAATCTTCAAGCTCTGCAGTAGCATGACCAAGAAAGAAGTGACCCTTGACAGATTGGGGGTCATAATCAAGGGCAGTTTTGCAGTCGTCAACGACGGCTTCCCATTTTTGTAGCTTTATGTTGCACAGAGCCCGATTTGTGAAGAAAACAGCATTATTAGAAGTCTTATTTATCGCCTTCGTGTAGCATTTTATCGCTTCTTCATATTTCTTTTGTGCAAACATACGATTACCTTCTAACTTATACTGCATGGCAGTCATTTTGATTATATTTCTAAATTAAAAAGACAAGATCACATTAATAAAACAACATAAATAATATATAACTTTACATTAAAATTAATAATATTCATTTTACAATTTCAATATTGCAGTGTTGAAACAAGCATAGATAAAAAGCACAAACAAAAATATAATATTCGCTTCTTAAAAATCATAAATACCCAATAAGCACGGACTTCATTACCAAAACAACCGGTGACAAAAAAAAAGAAAATATGTTTTGATGCAGCTAATTAAGCCAGTTAGAGACGAGGGGTGTGCAAGCGGCGGCCCTAAATGAAAAATTGTGCGGCCCACGAAACGAGTGTTTAATTCAGCTCAATCTGGTACGTGCAAGTAAGCCTACACCCTAGTCCAATTTATTATATATGCGCATGGGGTTACAATGCCTTAACAGCTAGCCTAAGCGGACAGCACATGTCACAAAATCAATAACCAAAATTTATGCGTATGCAACTACTAGAAAGCCTATGTTAAATTAATGTGCTGTTTCATCCAGTTATTTGTATGTGCCCCCCATGTACTAAAGGTTTCACACCCCTAAGTTAGACTATAGCATATAGTTAAGAAGCCATTTATTCATTAATACTGGCAATATTTGGACTATTTCTCATTTGCTATCAACATTATGCAAAAATAATAATGGTTGAGGAAATGAGAAGAACATACCTCTCTCAAATATAAAAAAGATTAATTTTTAAGCGGAGTTACGGACTAGAAATGATAAATTTTGCAAGAGTAAGACCATGACACTAATATGAATTGTTTAGCTAAATTAAAATGTTTTTTTCAGTAACTTAGGAACCAGTCAATTTCAAATTTTCGACATTAAGAGATGCAAGCCGGTAGAGCATTACTTTTATATAACTGGTTTGTTACTGCTGAGAGAATTCACTTTTGAGCTAATAATAAATTTAACATTGAGCACAAATAAAAAGAGAAAGTCGAAAGATAATAGTATACCACTATTTTAAAAGATGAACAAGCACCTATCATGTCCCCTAAATGCTGTGATCATCACCAAAACCATACAGAATATTTAAGCAATAAAATGAACAGCATGCATGCAGATTGTCAATAAAATAAACAAATTATAAAAACAGACCATTTCTCTGTAACAATACATAATAATAAGCAATGTGATATTGTCTGATGTGGAAAATGACCCAGGGCGCCCCCCTTTTTGAAATGTAAAAAAGTACCCAAATAACTAAACGCAATGACATGGATAATAACAGAAGGATTTATAAAAAAAATATTGATTCCTGTGATGAAAGATATCTGTTAACACTAATAGGGAAATATTGATTCCTGTGATGGGTAGAAAAGGAAATTGACAGCATGTTTGAATTGTGTTTACAAAGCGCTTGGGTTTTGGGGCAAAGATCCTTATAAAAGCATCCCTTAGTTCTACGGACATTCATGGCTCATATATAACAAATAATAAAATCGGAATTGGTCAAAAATACACTCCACCATCCATCAATACTCTGTGAGAATAATACATCAGCAACAAAAAGTAGAATACTTATTGACAAAAATAATAATAAAAGGAAGTATGAAAAGCTACAATGAACACTTTTTAAAATCGGATTTCAAAAAGACATTTTGGATGTCAAATTCAGCAAAAATAGGATTTATTAATGTTAAATCTATTAAGAAGATTCGGTTAGGAGATCAACTAATGAAGTTTGAAATACGGTAAACAATACAGTATTTTTGGTAATTTTGGCATCAACTTATTTTAGGTACTGGCTTGAACTGTGCAAATTGTACCAAGGAATTTGGACATCTCAAGTCCATGCAGCTGAACCAATTAACTCAGGGGCGGGCAATTACTTTTCTGAGTGGGCCTGTTATAGGTAACAGCCAAGTTCATGCATCTGAAACAAAAGACTGTTAATGTTACCATAACTTGTAAGAGACCTTTGCTTGTCATATGATCAACTAAAGCACTTTATTAGCTGTTAAAATTCTTATCCTAATTATAAGAATATTAAGCCGTAGGTTAGTAGCCTGAGATGTATTAGGACTACCATTTTACTTGAGAATATAAGAATTGGCTGCAATGCTGACAAATCAAAAAATCACAAATTTGGGCATTTCATATCTGCGCACAAGTTTCAGAGATGCAAATTCACAACAATATGAATGAATTACAATATAGAACAAATTATTGCAGTACCGTACAGTTCAATGGGGATTCTTTTGGAACTATGCTGACAGAAATAGGATCTCAAAATTTAAAATACACATATAATTAGAGCATAGTATAATGACAAATTTACAGATAAATATTGCAAAATAAACAAGGAGAAATATTCAACCTTACACCCCAAATTGGCCCCAAAAGTTGGCTGTGATTTGTGGTTACGATAATACAAACAGAATAGGTAGTTTAATTATAATGATATTATGAAAAAACTTTGAAATAAAACTTCGCCTGGCTACGGTCCAGGCCTAAAAAACTGAAGGTTGATGAACAAGTTATTTAGAATACTAGAAACAGGTCTGCAGAGTCTCAGTGCTTTTTATTGGTAATAAAATTAATTCAGCAGTTCCATTTTTGAACACTGTGTGGACTCCTAGCTTTAAACTTCTAATGGCAGTGTATAAAGTCTAAATTTCTGATAGGAACCTAATAGGGTGAGATCTTGTTGGGCATAAATTTTCCCAGAACTAAATTTGTGAATAGGATACATGAATACCAACATTTTTAGATATGAAAAAACATTTTTGAAATTACAATTATAGAACATTCAACCAATCAGCCTCCTTTTGATAATGAAAAGCAAAAATATTTTTCATCAAAGACAAATGGGCAGCACATGTAGGCTTATCACTAATCTGTTGTATCAGGTCTAATAGTTCATGGATTCTGTCAATTTCTTGAGTGTACGTCCGATTTTCAAGAGGCATTTTCCGTAGACTATCAATGGCTATTTGAGCTTTGGTAAGAGTATCCTCTCCTTCGGGCCGTAGTCGTGCTGTTATCTGTTGAATATGAACTGAGATGCAACGAATAGAGACTCGAAATCCAATTGATAATGAAGTAGCACGTCCGATTCCAAAAGTTCCGAGTATGCCTGTCTTAACACGGTCAGTACTCCAGTGCTCTAACATGGGAAGAAGTGAATGAAAACTCTCGGAAACTGAGCTAAGATTAACTTCAGATTCTGGGGAGAGTTTAGCGTCCTGTTCCAACGTATCACAAACTTTCAATGCATATCCAATTAAAAGTAACAATTTGGCTTCATTATCGCTTTTCGGAATCAAAGACGAGATCCATTGTACAATAGAGAAAAAAGCACTATACATTGGGCCATTAGAGTCATTTCCGTTGCCGCAACGTTTCGCTTCATCGACTATATTTTGCGATAATGCAAGTATGGTATTAATGCACCCATTTGATAGACATGCTTCTATAAGCTCACTCTGGGAGACTTTACAAACTTGACTTAGGGTGTGGCAAAGATTCTGCCACAAGTTCAAAACTTTTGGGAGCCTATCGTCGGATGTGGTTTTATCCACTTCGTCGTTCACTTCTGGGTGATACTTAGAAATCAATTTCAAACATGAATCAAGCCCGTATTCAGCCACTACAGCTAAATGCAGAGGACTTGAAATTGTGTTTGCTGCCGAAGATAGAATGCTTGTCAAAACCAAGTCGACAGTTTGTAGAGATTGTGTGTCCATTGACAAATCAAGCGTCGATAAAACAACTTCATTAAGGAAACTTAAAATCTGTGATCTTGTGATTTCCTGTAACTTCGAAGTAAATGTATTCATGCTTCTCCAAATTTCGGAATAAAGAGAGGAAAGTCTAGTTTCGTCAATGTCAGAGTCAAATTGTACAACAAGCAAAATACTTCTCATTAGTTTCATAACTAAATTTGATGTCACAGCTTCTAGAGTTTGAATTTCACGCTTATCTTGTGTCTTGGCTGAGTTTCGAACTAGTGTCCCTACACACCGAATAAAGGATTGTCTTTTCATCCACGTAATATCAACAGTCTCTTTTGAATTGCAGTTTTCCATTACCTTTTTCCAGTTAAAATCTTTTTCCAAAACTGGCAAACCTGAAGCGATTTGTAGTAGTCTCAAAGCAGCATATCGTGGTGATTGTAATTTCTGGTCTTCACAGTCGAAAATTGTACAGAATGCGTGAAATTGGTCCGCAATTATATTGGCAATAAAATCAAACTGGTCATAGCCAATCAAATGCCAAGGAAAAACATCGATGGAAGTCAATAAATGTTGCAATTTGGGGTAAGAGTGTAATCTTGCTTCATCTGAGCTCAGAACATACAAGACATGTAACAAGTAGCATAATACTTCAGATGTGTGTTCTGACCACTGATGTGTAGAATTTTCAGGGCTCGAAATAAAACACATTTTCATGATAGCTGACCAGTCAATTTGTGGTACAACATGGCATAGGAAATGAAGAGAACAATCAATTCTAGTGTTACAAAGTTGGACCATTTTGTCTAAGTCTGTTAAATTTGGAATAAATTTATTCCAAGGTAAAGCGCTGAGCGTGGTTTGATAAGAACCGCATATGTAACTTGGTGATGTCTTCTCATGAGCTAAAAGAGAATTGGTAAGATAGAATTCCCATAATGAAGACACACTTTGAGACACATCCATTGCTTTTTCACTACAGATCGAATTGATAAGAGTCGCGAATACTGTTAGGATAGACGACACAGTTTCTTGGTCGTCAGGTTTCCAAGGCCATTGCATTTTTTCTTCCATTTTCAGCGGATCTAGCCATGCGGAAAAGAGCGGCAAAATTCGGTCCACTAAGCAGGCATGGTGGCTGAAATAGGTACTGCCGTTTATACCCTGTTTTGATTCGTTGTAATTGATTTCGAAATCGATTAATTTGTGGAATAATTTTGATAGCGGATGAACATAGGGTTTCCATGTAGAGTACAATCCTGATTTTGTTTTTTTTCTTTTCTCTGAAAAATACACAGCTACCTGTTTTATTGCTGTATCAACAATTTCATATGAAAGTCCACATTTTGATTCATTTTTGGCAGAATTTTGTACATTTGATTGCTGTGGATTGAATGCCGCATCGGTTAAAACTTCCCAAGCCATTGGATCCACATTGCCTTTATAACTGGCTTTCAAAAGTGAATTGATAGCCTCAAAGAAGACTTGGTCCTGTGAATGCTGAACTAAAATGCTTAAATGAGTCATAAATACTTCTTGAACTGCGGAGTTCGATAACTGCGTAGACTGGGACCTTGTGAGCGTAGTTTCTTCAGTAGAATCTTCAGGAGGCCACGAAAACGTAGTGTGCGACACCAGACCGTTTATTATGGCATCTAACAAAGTGACTTTCTCTGATTTCGGCGGCATATACGCGTCACACCAATTTTCCAAATCAAATTTTGTGATGAGTACAAAAAGAATGTCAGATGAGTTACCAGTTGATGCAGCATTTACTACACGTTTATACATGTCGACAAAAACTTTAGTATCAAATTCAGTGTGTGAACCGCCCTCATTTTTAACTCTAGAACATGATTTCGCTGGTGAAAAATGCGCTGAAAGTAATGCAGCTGTCTCCGGGCGTTTCAGCATCTGTTCTAAAAGGGTAACAGCTTGATCTGGTTGTCCATAGATGAAGACTTGCCCTAACATATCAATACAGGTTATTAGTAAATGCCTCGTCGGTGGGCACTTCCATCTTTCATCAGAATTCAGATCTGCAAGGTTATAGAAAAGCTTTGCTCCATTTTCAAAAAGCGCTTTGTCATTATCTGATGACTGTGCTTTTTTCAGTAATGCTTGAACTACCGTTATCAAGTGAACAGCAGAGTAGCTGAAATCTTGAGATGTGTCTGGATTTGTTAAAACGCTGATGATTTCTCGGTACGATGCTCGATTCTTTTTCAAATTTTCTGAGGCTATGTCGTTCATCGATTTCTCAAGAAAGCTCAGTGGAAATTGAGCTGGCCCTGCGCATCTGTGTGTTGGCGAGAATGCTGATTGACACTCTACTTTTACCAATTTACGCTGTTCTTCATTGGTGTAAAGATCAGGTAATAGTTCCAAATAGTTGCGATTAAAATTTTCGAGTTTCGTTTTTGAATCTGCGAATGTTTGCGCATGAGTGAGCACGCTTTTTACATCTTGCTCAATATCGCCAACTAGTGTTTCTGGTGTCGATGAAATCAACTGGTCAACAAGAATTGGAAAATCGATTGCACTTGCAAGTGAAGGGTCGAGGTTCAGAGGTGACTCGAACTGACGCAGGAGCTGCGTGATTCGCTGGCAACTGGTAGCATGAATTGCAAGACTTGATGAATGAGACGGAAAAGGTTTAAAATTATGCGTATGGAAGTCGTTCCACTTTTTATTAACTTGTTTTATTTCGTCTGAAATTTCAGAAAAGTTGATATATTGTGTCCAGATGGTTTCATTTTGAGTTCGTATTGTTGCTAAAAGGTCTGGTTCATAATGAGACGGCAACGAAGGAAGGTATAAATGGTCATCGTGTAATTTTTCTTCCTCCAACCAGACTCCGAATGTTCGATAAAGTTTTTGTAGTTTCATTTCAAATTCACCTTCAACTGTCTGTCCATTGCACATTGAATTAATTTTCGTGTCTAGCTTCTTAAAAATCAGATCTTCAGCTGATCCTTTGAAAAATTTAGGTCCCATACTTGCTCCTACATACGGGTCTGTATGGATGTATCGCAGAAAGAAATTTTGACAAATCGCGGACACTAGGGGGTGCTCTGGAAGGGTTAAAATTACTAACTGTGCCCAGCGATACAACGCAAGTTGATGTAAAGCGGGATGGTGTTGTAATTTCAACTGTGACGATGCTTTTTTAAGTGATGATTCAGCAGTATTTGATTTCATCATTGGCAGCATTGTTGTCCATAATTTACTATCATCTTCAAACCTTGACTCGGCACAAATAAGGTAGTAAAAAAGATAAGTAAAATGCGTTTGAATTTCACGAGCAAATGAAGGAGCACCAGATGAGTTTCCACCACTTACAGCATTGATTATTGAAGACAGAACAGAACGATTTTGGTGTTTTGGAGAAGTCGAGTTATTTTGATTATGTGTCATCAATTCATAATGACGTTCGTATAAAATCGAGCCGCATTCGAAACTACATTCAGGACTGTCATGAAACGCACATTTAAACAAAAAATCGAGCAAAATTTTAGAATTGCAATCCTCCCACCATCCCGGAGTAGCCAGCACCATTTTAATCCAATAGGTTAGCACCGTCGTTGCATCATTTATTGTCAAAAGATCACTGATCGATCCCATTAACAGTTCCAAAAACAGTGGCACGTCAGGTTTTTGTTCTACAAGCTTACTTGTGATGCTAGAGAGCACCCAAGCATCCGGTACAATACAACTTCGTAAAATACGCACAAAAGTGTTATTAATTGACAAGTCAATTCCACCTTGTATGAACATGGGGATAACGAAAGCCAGGCATTGTACTGCAGGGATCTTTTGGCCACTTTCGATTAAATTTTTCAGCAGCGTAAGTCCTTGTTGTAAAAAGACGTTTAAACTGTGCCCAACGCTCGTCATCATGATCGTAACGTAACTAGAATGCGGCAATTTTTCCATGTTCGAACGCGGAAGTAACGTTCCTTCATTTGCGTCCATTAATGGTGATGGTTTGTCTCGATTTTCTAAGCTTTCTGTGCAGTTCAGTTGCGCTCTGTGGAGTTTAAGTCGAAGAAGTATATTCCACACCCAAGTTTCAAACGCTTCTTCAACGGAGAGAGAAGAACGCATAGCAGACGCTACTTTTGAAACATGATCAATGCTTTTTAATAAGAGACCAGACTGCTTTCTCTCCATCTCATAAAAATGACAAACCTCGACGAGTAAAAGTGCGATTTCACAGTGCAAAGAGTGCGGTAAAAACAGACATCCATCCTCTCCAGTACCCCAGTTCATTCCTCTCAAAATGCATTGCACAAGACGTACTGGTACTGTTGTGATAGCGTGATCCAGAATCCAGTTTCTTAACAACTCAATATCTTGTTTTGTAGGAATCCATTGGTTAAATGGTAAATCGGAAACAGCGTAAAAAGCAGTGCTCGAAATTTTCTCTGAATTGGTATGAAGATACTGTAAAATTGTTGATATTATGAAAGGATGCATTGATGCAACTGTGCATAAGAGTTCTCGTCCCATTTTGCTGCAAATGTCTCTTGTCGATGAATAAACGAATGAGACCATGTAGACATCCATCGCAATGATATTAATCAAATGGTCTTCTGTAGCTGGTCGGGCGTGCGCTAAGTTGCAGAAAGTGGTCAAAAGATAGACAATTTCATTTTCCGGCATTTCCGATAGACGATCTTCGAACGCTAATTTTGTGTCAGTATCTTGAACAAAATCTAACCACTCTTGTCGAGTATATTTTGTCATTGCGAGTTGATCCACCTCAGCCCGAGAGCCAGCTGGAACGTTCATTAAAACATACAACGTTTCCGCAGCTCTTTGGGACACCGATTTAAACGGTAAATCTGCTAAAAACTGATACACACCAAGCCGTGCTACGCAAAGTAATCGTTCTACGCAGCGCTTTACGAATTCATCAAATTCAGTTTGAAGTCTTTCTATTGAATGAATCTGCGGCTTATCTTCTGTGCTTTCTTTAAAAAAATTCCATTCTTCAGCCACTAGGAGAACAATATTTCTCAGCGTTTGTGCGATACGACGCACCAACTGCTTGTATCTTGGAGCGCCAAGTGTTGCCAGACCCTCGCCCAAAACGTCGCACATAATATCACAGCATGCAATAGCTTCCAAGAACTTTTCACTCGTTATGGGCTCATTTTTATACAGATATGCGCCGTTTTCATTTTTGCAAAGACAAAAAATTTGCGATAATACTTTTTCGAAAGGAATTTGTCTATATAAAGACACCATATCGCTTTCTTTAGGTAGAATATGCCATTGGCTCCCAACACCCTTTAAATCCTCCCCGTTTTCATCTAGAAAAGTCCAATTATCTTCTGAAGAAGTTTGGTTCTGCAAAGACATTATTGACTTCGATCCAGACAAAAATTCTCCACGACCCTTCGGCGCACGTAAAATTAAAAACAACATATGTATTACATGGTCTAGAAACAGTTTTTGACTCCAGTAATCAGACTCAACAGCGGGGGACGAAATTTGAACAATATTTTCTGCCCAAGATTGTGACTTTGGTGGACAACGAATGATATGATTAGTAATAAATAGTTCTTCATTAACTAAATTTTGATAATCACCTTTAGTAATTTCAAACAGCAAACTAACAAGTTGGCAAATCCAGCCTTGAATAATTACGCCAAAAGAAGTGTCTACTTCCTCTTCTTTACGAAGAAAATAGAACAACGTATTTATGCACTGGCGTACAACGTCTATTGATTCTTCAGCGAGTTTCACAAGTATCGAGGATTTAATTGAATCAGTGTTTTCATTATAATTTTTAGTGTGATATCGGACATTTGTGGCAGCATTAAAAAGATATTGCTCACACTGGAGTCTCGTTAGAGTCCTGGTGTACATAGCAAGCATCGTGTCTTCCACCGCTAAATGCTGACAATCTAGAATAGCAACACCCAATTCTGACGCGACTGCTTCGTTGAATTTACATGTAGTATACGGATGGATTGTATGAACTTTACGTTTATCTTGGCAGTATCCTTCGGCTTTCAGTTGTCCTACTTCATTGTCGAAAACACGCTGACATAAGCCTTGAATGTTTATATTACGTTCCTTGCATTCATCTTGTAACTGGCAAACGACTTCAGTCGCTTTTTTCAGCGTTATTAATAATTGTTTCAAATCGGAATTATGGTCTTTTGAGTTTTCCAAAAATTGGTCCGTATAGATGTTGCTTCGTTCTAATAAACCGTTGCGATAAAACGAAGCTAACTGTTCCTGCGTGTACGGGACTAAGTCTTCCCACTGGATGTTTCCATCAGCATATGGGACTTGTTGTTGCGACTCATTTGAAAGTTCCCAATCCTCTTCTTGATAAGGTAAAACTACTTCATCTAGCGGGCTTTCTAGATCAAATGATTCTCCATCAAACTCTTCAGCGTCGTAAAATTCCATTTTTGCTTTCAAATAATTTCACAACTCTCGTTCAGTTGTGTAAGCTTAAGGAATTCACTCACATTGTCTATAATAAGTAGCTGATTATCCCTGTATATGAAAGCGTTTTCATACTACTAATTCGCAAACGGCAAGTCTAAAATTTCTATTGTACTTCTATTACTAATATTAACGAAATCTGTAAATTTAAAAATATTTGTTATTGTCTATATAAAAGCAACTTGGAGTAAATGGTAAAAATAAAATACGCGTGCATATCTGAACCTGGATAATGAGGGTTACAATACAAGTGCACGCAATTAAGAAATACAATGGACCAGCCAAAGAATACGATAAATCGGAATAGCTGATATCAATATACTATTAAATTTGCCCAATAGGTAGCGGCAGGTGATTGTAAACGAATCCTGTTTGCAATTTTTTTCTAAAAATAATTTTCTGATTTCAGCAGTAAACCTCATTAAATAAATAGTAGTCTATGCAGGTAATTGTCACACTGCTTCCTAAAATCGAAAAATTAACTACTTTACTACCTATTTTATTACCTTTATACTTGCTGACTTGATACCCCCTACTAAACATTTCAGCAACAGTAACGATAAAAGAAATGCTACATTCACAACAAAGTAAATATTCTAAATGATTCAAGATTTTTGCTGCACGCTAACACAAATATGTTTCTGCAACGTTTCATTTAACTTTTTCCTCAGACATACATATTGTGAATTCGTAATAATCCGCAGCAAGACTCCAACTCTTGAATCAATTACGATAGTTATCTGCACTCTTGCTATAGCATCCTTGTATTAGCAAAAGTATAGAAGAAGGATAAGTAATTTGCTCAACAGAAATCCAGTCAAGAGCACTAAACAATAATATGCTAGAATTTATATGTCAGTGGTTACCCCCCCCCCCCCCCAAGAATGTCTAAATTCCACTCGGTTGGGAAATGTGGCTCTATGTCTACGCATACTAACAACTCACTGACTGAGAAAACTAAGCCTTCAATGCAAAACAGACATAGCTGAGAAAGTGGTAGTATGTGTACCAGGTTAGGCCATAATTCTGATTTTCCCTATTTTAGTTCTATTACGAGTTTGGGGACTGTCTGTGTTAGCCATGTGAATATACCCCCTGCACATTGGCTTCAGTCCCTTTACACAACTTGATGTAAACTAGGCGAACAAAGTTACTTATCTCCATATTGGTACACACACCTCTAGAGTGTCAGGAAAGTTACAATTCAAGAAGTCCAATTATCTTTTCCGTGAATGAGCTCTCTTGAGAAATTAGAGATCCCTTCAAAACAAGGCAATTACTTTCCAGGGATTAGAGCTAATTTTATGGCTAATAAAAAAAATCAATACATATTACATTGATTTTCTTACGGAAAAGTATGTTTCCAAAAATTGGATTAGAGAAGACCGATTGACGATTCAAACTAATCTTATGTTTCACACCTTATTTGTATCAGAATCACATATGTTATTACGGTAGGTAAAAAAAGCGGCCTAGTGCAGTACTTCCTGACCTAGTTACTTATCGATCTTGATCGGTAAGTATGTTGATGGGTATTTGTCTGTCTGTATGTCTGTGTGTTAGATGCACGTGATATCTCACGAAAGCGAGGTTCAATCTGCTCCAAATTTTGCATGTGCATTCATCTTAGCTCGGATCAGAAGCCTATTGATTTTGAATGGATTATGTCGTTTAATTAGCGAGTTATCAATCAATTATTGATATAGTGATCTAGATTTTTGTAAAGCAAGAGAATTTTGAAACCCGCCGAGTGTGTGTGTGCGATGCGCAGTGCGAAAGTTACAAGAGCGGATGAATCGAAACTGCAGTTTCTGTTTTGGGGGATCCCCTAACTATCGATCGATAAGTCTTCGGTTTCCAACCGATATTCTCGTCTCTCTGTTATTTGTTTAGGCTTTAGAGAAGTTTTAAATGGTTATACATCCAATCATCCAAAAAACCTTGACCTCATGTTTTAAACGTTGTGGCCTAATCAGGGGAATTGTCAAAGGAAGGGTGGGGGAGGGACCGGAAACTACTAATTGCACAGTTAGGCCCTAACAGCTAGCAGGTCCATAAAATGTGGGTTTTCTAGTATTGAAAGTCTTAAAAAGCGTTCCAGGCCACAAAAAATTGCAGTGTATGAAAAATGCTCTTCATTTCAAAAATTTTATCCAAAAGGTTGAAATATTCCAGGCAATCCTCCCAAAGAAAGTATTAAACTTACATCCCCGGACCTATTGTTTTTCGTTGAAAACCACTCAATTTAAAATTCAATCTCTAATATTTTAAGATATTAATATATAAAAACAGCAAAAATAAATGATCCAGATTTTGTTTTGGGCAGCCTTGGCTTGAATAAGTACTAGCATTCTTAACTCACTTTTACTGCTACCCTAGCCCTTACAAATCAATTTTATTGCCTTAAACGAATTCATTACCATTGACCAGTTGCTCTTAAGATAAATGAAGCCATCCATAAAATCTTATTACCACAGTACAAACAGAAGCAAAGCAGTAAAATCACAATTTCCATCAATTGAATTCCAAAATTAATATCTACAATGGGAACGCTGGTTTTTGTCGATATTGATTTTTTATCTTAACATTCTCAGTGACAAGAAAGATCCTTACAATACTGGTTGTGTATTTAGAGCTTATTTACTATCTGTTGAACGGAATTAAAATCGATCTGGATAGGCAATCAAGCGTAACAAAAAGTAGGCAATGTCATTTTCTTACCTAAAAATGTGGATATAATAGAAACAGGCAGAAAGTAGTGCTGATAAGTTATCAATTTAATTCAATTTATAACTGCCCTAATAAAACGATCTTTTACCTTGCCAATAAATACAATATCTCCCCCATTGTAAACTTGAATATACTACTTTCCTAAAACAAGCGTAGTTCTACTACAAAAAGTTACTAAAGTCATGACCGAAACAGACAGTTAATCATTAATAAGCTTAATATTATTATTATTCACATTGAGAACCTTTGCGCTATGTTTTGGTACCCTCATTGCAACTTAAATATACTTCTGTAACATGTGCCATGTTAATCTGACTTTCCTAAAACAAGCGTAATTCTACTACAAAAAGTTACTAAAGTCATGACCGAAACAGACAGTTAATCATTAATAAGCTTAATATTATTATTATTCACATTGAGAACCTTTGCGCTATGTTTTGGTACCCTCATTGCAACTTAAATATACTTCTGTAACATGTGCCATGTTAATCTGACTTTCCTGAAAACAAGCAGAGTTCTAATACAAAATATTGATAAAGTCGTGACTGAAACGGACAGTTTATCATTAATTAGTCTAATTAATAAGACAAGATTTGACATTAATTGATGAGGGTCAATAAAATAACTAAATTAATTGTGGGATATTGCCAATTTTACAACATTGCCTCATTTGCCTGACATACTTTTTTATTGAATGTGCTTGTAATGTAACTCATTGATCAAAATTTTACTTGAAATAAAAGGTCACAAACGCTGAGGAAAAGCAAAGGCGTTATGTGGAATCAGAGTCGCCCTTGTCAAATAACCATAATTTAAAGGCGTCTGAAATGGGCTGAATACACAAAAAAGTTGAAATTGATTAATACTCAAATACTGCAAAATTTTTGAAAATAATTATTAGGAATATCTCAATTTAAAAATTGTCATTTTGATCTGAGTGATTTATATTAGCTCCCGTAGTATGTGCAACAAGATGGCGGACACCTGAACATAGTATGTGTACCAGGCTAGGGTTAGGCCATAATATTATTCCAATTTTTCTTATTTCAGTTCTATTCCGAGTTCGGGGACTACCCAAGTAACTCAACAAAATTACGACTTCAGTTTTCATGGATATTTAAATCCAGTTATTTTGTCTAAATTCATATTACTGACTCATTTTTCAATGG